CCCCCCCCCCGACACACTCCCTCCCTGTCACCCACTGCCCTGCCCCCCAGCCGGCCCCCACCTGAGCTCGCTGAAGTCCTTGCGCAGGATCTCGAGGGCTTTCTGCAGGAACTGCTGCATGGTGTTCCCCTTCTTCATCTGGGGGGATGGGGGAGGTTAGGGCTGGGATGTCTCTCCCCCCCGATCCTTCTCCCCCACAGGGCTGGGACAGCTCCTCTGCCCGCCCCAGTCACGGCTCCTCTGCGCTGCGCGCCCCACCCCCCCCACTCACCTTGACCGTGCGCCGGTGGCCGGAGCCATCCCAGTAGCTGAAGGTGATTTCAATCTCCTCGCCTGGGGGGGAGGAAGGCATGGGTCAATGCGGGGAGGGGACAGTCCTGCCTCCCCACCTGCCCCTAACACCCCCCCCCAATCCCATCCAACCCCCTCAGCTACAACCTCCCCCACCCCCCAATGCCTACTGTCAGCTGGAATCCTCCTCCTCCCTCCGCTCCCCCGAACCCGCTAATGGCTCCAACTCCCCCTCCCGTCCCATCTCCCCACCAGGCCCAGCCGCCGGCATCCCCCCAGGACCCAGTGGCAGGCAGTTCCCCTGGCCACGTACTCTTGATCTTCTCCTGCTTGGCCTCCCACTCCTGGCGCAGCTCCTCGCGCAGGCGGTTCTCCTCCTCCTGGGGGGGGGGGAGACACACAGCTCAGTCGGGGAGGGCCTGACTCCCGGGTTACCCTGGGGTCCCGGCTGGGGAAGGGGGGGTTGATGTCAGTCTATGATGTTCACCTCATGGTCCCGGCGGGGGAGCAGGGAGGGGGCTGTACCTCAAGGTCTGAGGGGGGGCAGGGCAGTACCTTGTGGTCCCGGGGGGGGAAGGGGAGCACGTACCTCACAGTCTGGGGGGGGGGGCAGGGCAGTACCTCGCGGTCCCGATCCGGCAGGAAGCTGGTGTCCACATCCGGATTCTTTCCCAGTTTGCGCTTCTTGGGGGGCAGCTCTGTGGGGACAACGGGAATGAGACACCCCCCGCCCCATACAATCTAAGCATGGACCCACTCCCAGGCTTCCCCAGCCCCCCACCGCACCTCGTACTGACTGGCCCCTGCCCGACGGCACCCCCTACAGCCCCCCAGGTCCCTCACGGGCAGCATCCCTGACCCCCCTCCCCCCATACACACCCACCACCAGCCTGGCCCCACAGCTCCCCCTACAGCCCAGCCCTCCACCCCACCCTAGGCCCCTCCACCAGCTTCCCAACCCACCCACCCTCTTTCTCCAGCT